ATTTTAATATATATATATATATATATATATATATAATTTGAAAAAATAAAAAAAATTATATGAAATCTATACAAACTCTATTAAGAACAAATAAAAATGTTATATAATAATAATAATAATAATAATAATAATAAATTGTTAAAAGAAAAAAAAAGAATAAGTTAGTGTTTTTATTTGAAACAAGGACTAAAAGTGTAATATTCATAAATTATAGGGATACAACCTATTAATTTTTAAAATTAGGAAACAAAATTGAAAATAAAACCAAAGCACAAGGACCATTTCTGTAATTTACTCTAACAAAAACATTAAAATAGTTTTGAAATCCCTCACCCTTAATCTCTCATTCAATAAATACCATCATTACATATTTAATATTTTTTTTAATTAAGTTTACCATTAATGGTTTTCAATAAATGGTTTTGACTTTTTTCTCGGATGTATTTAAAATCCCCCGATTCAAATATAACACTAAAATAACTGATCATTCATAAAAACTATAAAGTCAATTGATGGTGTTTATATATTTCAACTTATTTTATTTATTTATTTATTTACTAGGTTATAACCCGTGAAAACCACGGTTCACAAATTAAAATAACATATAAACTATAAAAATTAGTAATTATTGTTCAGGATAAATACAAAAATACATTGCTAATTTGGATTTTAAAAAAAATACGTTTTAATTTTGAGTTAGATTTAAAACCATAATGCAAGTTGTTGTTTTAGTCAAATTTATGATTCAAAGTTTTGGCATAAGATAGATAATAAAATTGAGGTGATAGTTTGAGAATAAATTAACATTCTTAAACTAATTAATTTATGGCATTGAACAAATGCAAGACCTTTAAGGGTATTTGTATTGCATCATTCCTTGGGATTTTAAAGGAATTGGAATTAAAATCCATTCCAATCCAATGTTATACAAAAAGTCATGTATTTCAAATTATGTCATTTTAAAAAAAGAAATGTTTGTGGTATTAGTAGTGTCTGCAAAATTTATATTGTTTTTAAAGACCATCAAAATCACAAATCTACTAAACACCTTATTGCCTTAACTTTTATGTATCTTACAGAAATTAGTTATGCAATTTGTTGGTGACATTTGAACAAACTTTTGGATGGTAAGCAATGAAAGTCACTCCAAGCAAAAGTTAGGATCTACTATATCGATTCTAGGGTTTTTTGTTATTGCATTTTTGTTTTTATCTTAATAATACTAAAAAACTTAAGTTATCAAGCATAAAAATACAGCATTAACTGTAGCTTAACATACATCATGTATATTTCAAACATAATTTGGTTAAACCCTTTCTCCTTCCTTTGACTCTCCTTCCTATGTGTCTTCAAAAACATTCAGAATCAACACAATGATGGTCATTTACAAACAGGAACATACAAAGGTATTCAATTTTTTTTGGGAAGCCACACATTGTCACCTGAACACCAGTTGTGAAAATTCCCCTTTTTACATTATACGAAAAGATCATTGATGGTCATTTTTTACTTGATACGGAACATTCAAAAGCCTAAATAACATTCTTTTAAGATTGTATTAAAGTCGAAATCAAGTTATTACTTGATGAATATGATTTTCCTAATAACAATACCTGAGCCCTCTCTTCCATTTCATACATTCCTACATCATGAATAAGATGGTTGTAGATTAGCCATACAAAACGAAATGTTCTGATAACCAAAATACTATACATCTTGACACAAAATAAAAAATAAACTAAAAATTGATTTTAAAACTGAAACATAGCTCCGAACCAGCAATGGAGCTAAAATAAAAGCAGAAAGTCATACAATATCGATCATTTTAAACATGAAACAAAGCTCCAAATGAACACAAGAACCCAGTAATCAAGATTCATTTACCACATCAGACATATCGACCTGTAACCCACCTAATAAAGAACACAACCCCAAAAGTTATACAAAACACACACCTGAGAAACCTAAATCTTTGAAGGATGATAGACAACTATCTCTTTTCAAACTAAATGAAACTAAATACAAAAATTGATCTATATATGAAAATGTCAAGCTTTTTGTCCATTACCCAAAATTATCAGATACTTTGTTGAACATTCCCTCTTTACACCTACCACTCGAAAGTGCTCTATAAGTAGATTGCCTAAAAAAGCCACAAACCATCACAAAAAAAATATATTAGGGTTAACCTTTTTCACATATAGATTTTTGAAATTCAAGCGTTCTTCAAAACTGTCAGAGCATCCTTTGTTGCAGCCAAGATAAATGATTCTGAAGCATTAGGTGGGTAATAATATATTACTGCGAATATATAACGCAAAAAATCAGTCAAAAACAATTTATACAAAAAAATTTGATAGGTTAGAATAATTTATAGTTGCATACCTTGAGCCACTCCAGCAATTTCTTTAGCAAAACCAGCCAGTATCTCATACTTCAGTAATATAGAATTAAATTATTATTATAACAATATAGTTTTTGAAATTGTATTTTAATACTTACCTTCAACTCTTGAGAAGAAGGACGTGGTGCTCGGCAACCATTTCTGGATCACCTCACTTATTATCCACCCGACATCTCCACTCTTCTCCCTATTCTTGCCATTCTTAGAAATCAGACGAAGGCCAAATGACAGACGAAAGCATGTATTTGACTATGTGATCCAAGTAATTTAAAATCAAATTGAAATGGGAACAATAAACATCTTAAGGAACCCTAAAACTGGAAACCAGTTAAATTTGTTACCTGGGCTAAGAGCAGTTGTTTGCTAAAACTTCAAATTGATTAAAAACCAATACAAGAGTCGAGCACTGGAATAACGTAGTAGTAGCAGGCGAAGCGAAAATCAAAAGGGTTTGCGTTCGGTCTCGAAGCTATGGTTTTAAAGAGAAAATTGCAGATGATGATGCAGCTGTGTATGCGATTGATAATAGGGAATCCAATATCAATATCCCTGATTTTATGAGATTGTAGTTGTGACAAAGATAGATTCCAAAAATGCTAAGGAGAGAAAAGAGGACAAACTTTAAATAAAATCTTAATTTGATGCCTGATTACACGGATTGCAATTTGAAATTTGAATTCAAAACACAAGACGAGTATAATTTTAATTTAGGAAGGAATTTCAATAGCGGGAAAAAAACAGAATAGATCCATAAAATTGACACGTGTCCATAGCAGCTCCATAAAATTGACACGTGTCTATATCAACTACTTTTTTATTAGAGAAGGTAGATTTTTATTTTTTGTTTTGTGTATCATTTGTTTTTGTGTATGTTTGTGAAGCTAGTTTGTAGTTGTTAGTGCATTAAAGCTAGAATCTAAGAACTATAATTTTTATTTATATAAAAAGGTCTGATAAAAATACGTATAAACTTTAGGAATTTTATATTATGAGTTTTTCGTTTAAAATAAATATTTTAAGTTTATATTTACAAACAAGTTTTTTAGTTCAAAGGTTTTTTTGTTTTTTTGTTTTTTAAATTTAAGTCCTTAAGTTTAATGTAAACTATAATAAACTTATTACATGTAATCATGTATAATTAAACCTTAATGTCGACTGATTTTGACAGAAACTCTATTATCAAATAATTTTACGGGTCGTATAACTAAACGAGTTTCTAGCCACATAAAAGCGATAGAATATGAAAATATAGGGGTATATTGGTAATATAACAAAAGCATCAAGATTTGTGTGTAAATCGAACAGATTCATTGAACCTGGACACAACCATTCTAAGCCTATAAAAACAAACACCCCAATCAAGGAAAGATGTACCACAACCGATTCAGTTAATTAACGCAAAATCTTTCTCTCTTTTAACCAAAACTAATGGCCCCTAGCATGGCGGATCCGTCGTTGAAAGACAACCGACCGCCGAAAATGGCGGCCCAGGAGGAGTTGTTGAGGAGGAGGAACGAGGAATTGGAAAGAGAGCTGAAGAGGAGTCTGGAAAGAGAGGAGAAGATGAAAATGGAGTTGCAGAAGACGTGGGAGAGGCTGCGCGTGGCGGAGGAAGCGGAGGAACATCTTTGTTCGCAGCTAGGAGAGCTCGAAGCCGAGGCCATGGATCAAGCGTGTGCGTACAGAGAGCGCCTGACGACGTTAATGGAACAGCTTTCGGCTGCTCAGAAGCTCATCGAATCGGCTTCCGTTCATATACCATCAATGGATTTGTAAAACGGAAAGGATTAAGGAGGTGAATGTTTTTGACTGGTGATTTTGTAAGAATATAGAGAATGTGACATGTATTAGTTATTGATGTAAATTAATCTGGAAAGGTTGTTAAACAACAAATATTGTATCTCTGAGATTGATTGTGCAAATTAATGTTTTTGATGAGATTGATTGTGAAGAACTTCGATTTTTTCTTCATTTTTGTTGTTTTACGCATGGTGGGATGACAAAAGACGAACAATTGGGTTGTTTATTCATACACAAATGCGTTTTAATTCATATGCTCGATGCGAAAGATGTTAAAAAAAAACGAAAATCAGGATGTAATCATGGCGCAAAGGAGGGATTATGGAATAAACCGAGAATATTCCCATTATCGACATTCAACAGTGCTTTCTTTCCTTGATATTAGATTAGAAAGAGTATACAATTATTCAGTTTTGTCGTTACACATATTTGTAAAAGAAAGAAACTTTTGGAAACTTTTATTAAAATAAAGAAGCATCTTTCTTTCTTTCTTTTTAATTTTTTACAACGAAGACACAACACAATGCATACATGATGAACAGGTTTTTATGCAATTAGGATATTAATGTACTTTGCTAATTTACTGTTTCTTTCATATTTAATTATTGAATGGAGTGTTTCTAGTTTTGTGAGGACAGAGTTCTTCCAGTTCTTCAGGTTGTTTTTTTTTTACTGTATCAATATCCGTTTCTCCAAGATGTTATTCACATGAATTATTATTTATGTTCTGCAAGAAATGAAGAAATTACTTTAATTGAATTTCTTTTCGCCTTTTTCAACCAAACACACGATAGTATTTCAACTCCTTAAATTTCCAAATGCATTGAATTCATATTTCCTTCATCAATTCCAATTCCTTTCAAAACAATATGTGAACCAAAAAACACCCCTATGTGATTGGAAAATAATAACAAAATAAGTTATCTACTCCGATCCACCCAACTTCTTTTTCATGTTTAAGATAGCCAACTTCTTTTTGTCTTCAAAAAGTGAGATTAAAGTATAATTTTCTATTTAGACTATTAAAAAAACTACCAACTTTTTTCTGGTTTAACTACACATGTAACTGTAAGTAACTACCACTTGTGTGGAAAAGCAGACTTCTTCTTTACCTCCTCCCTACACACCAAATAACACAATAGCCAAATCTCACCATAACTATCTTAATCATATGTAGATAAAATATCAGATCTCAAGTACTATAAACTCCAAAAAACATTAGTACCTTTCAATGTGATCAAGAATGAGGAGTCTTGGTCCAGGTGGAATCCTTGCATCTTGCAGAGCACTGATTCATATATCACGAAAAATAATTATAAGAAAAATATAACAAAAAAAGAACTTCAATGTTGTCACTTGCCTATCAGTGAGCAAAGGCAAAGTGCTATCTGTTAGCAATCCTCTTTTAAAGTTCTTTTCATAATGCCCAAGACCAAGACTAGTCAACATCCCTCTCGTTTCATTATACAACAAATCTTCCGGATTTGGCTTTGAAATTTTCTCCCTTACCTGCACAACCACATACACTTAATGTGTCATATCAGAACGAGTTATATTGTGTTTGACATGCATTGTACTGGTGGAACTGAACACATCACCTTAAAAACTCCACCCTGCACAAGTGCAAAGAAAACACCAGAAGCTATTGCATTTGAAGCCTGATTAGGACCCCCCATACCACTAACCAATGAGAACATGACACCAGAACCAAAACCTGCCGCCATACTGCAATTATATACATACATGAATAAAATTTTAAACCAAAAACATCATTTTTTTTTTCTCCAACTGACTAAAGAAACAGCCTGAAAACTTTAACTATTGATGGATTCTATTATAAGAATACCTTGACTGGACATCCTCCTTGCCTCTTAATCTTCTTAAGACACAGGATATGCCTGCATTAACACCCCGACATAACAGCAAAATTACGAGCCTGTGCCAATGGCCCTCCTGCAACAGCCTGTACATACAGTTAGGGTTTAGGGTTTCTATTTCATATTCAACAAGCAAGTACGTTCTTAAATCAGTAATCATAAATAAATGATTCCAGTGATACCCCAAAGTAAAACGGGTGTCTTAATTTTTCTTATCGAATTCCCCCATATCTTAAACCCTTAAAAATATGAAATTCAAATTAAGCACATAAACTACTGAAGATCGGTAGATGGTGAAGGAATTATGTAACCTGGGATTGCTGGAAGGAGGCTGTAGTCTGTAGATTAAGGGAGGTGCTTGGTGGCGGAGGGGAAAAAGAGGAGGAGACATCATTAGTAAGACCCATTAACCCACCGATCGCCGCACCTTGGAGGGCGCTGGTGACGGTGACAATGGCAGCCACGACGGGTAAAGATTGTTTAGCAAGCCAAGTCTTGAAGAGGGTCTCACATTCGTTGTATTTGGTCTCTACGTATTTGAGTGGGTTCTGGTCAACCATCACTAAAAACCCCTTCTTTTCTTCCCCCATGAATGTTTAATGCTCTCTGTTATGGAAAAGTTTACGAATTACGAGACGGGGATGATGCTTGATCGTTTTCCTTTTCTAGTTTTAGGTTAAATTGCAGGCGAATACTTTGAGGCAGAACATGGGCCAAGCCTACAAAGCCATACGAGGAAGTTATCAATAACTTCTTTTTATTATTATATACATAATTAAAACGCAACGGGCTTCTGAAAGGTATTTCCTAAGCCGATCGAAAATGGTCCTCTACGCTCTTTCTTCGTCACCACCACGTGTTCTTCTCCGGTGTTCATTGACATAGTGCTACTCTCGTTGAAAAAAAACTGAAACCCGAATTACCCGTCCGATTTTATTGGGTATCGTGTTAATAGGTCCGGGTTAATCAGGTTTCGGGTAGGAATATCGGGTAATTGGGTTACCCGTTAATAAATCAGGTCGGATATATATATATATATATATATATAGAGAGTTATATTCCAATGAGAACATTTTTCCCGTGAGAACATTTGAGAACATTTTTTAGCCTATGAGTTCAAAAAACACGCGTGTTTGTTATTCAAATACAAATTATCCACCTAACTTCCCCCACCATATTATGTCATTCTCTCCCCACCATATTATGCCACCATGGGTGTCGGAAACCATTATTATCGCCGGAGATCAATCGATAACAACCAGAGATCTCTTCGTCACATCACCTTCAGAGGCCAGATCTCTTCGTTGCTTTCCCCCACCATATATCCTCTTACAAGATGTTGAAATGAAAGAACAACAGGTTCTAGCAACTCCTTCAAATTCGGTTTCATCTATGACTCCTTCCGTTTTACAGTATAAGAATCTATCTAAATTTTGATCTCTATGATTGTTTGTTTGATCATATTTTTTTATTATTGATGAATTTGATTTCGATAATGTGTTATTAATCGATTGATTTTAGAAAAGATATGTGTATACGCTTTAGGAACGAACGCAAGCTTTGTTTATTATCTACTGTTTCGAATTGAGAATTCGAATATGTTAATCATGTGAAATTGGCTCACGGATTTAAAAGAAATCACGACACTGATTGAGATCAGAGCTTCTTCTCGTGAAGTTGTCGCATTTTGAGAGCTATTAGACTCACAATTGTGTTGCGGAGGAAGTTAAATGCTTTTGTGATTTCATATCTTCCAAAGGTAGGTTATTTTTTACTTTTATATATCTTAACATCCATCGAATTTCAATCAATTTATTAATATCCATAATTACACACACACAATCACAATAGCTAGTAAAGTTGATATTTGTATAGATTTTTTATGAACACCAAGTGTTCGATGAAATGCCTCAATGAAAAAGTAGCATTTTATGTGAAAATCCTTAACTTTTAACCCTCATTAAGCCACGCATTAAGGCCCTTAGGTTAAATTGAATTTCATATCTTAATAGCCTAATAAGTAACCAACAATCATATAAAAAGTGATAAACTTAAGGCTTAACCATTAAGTCCTTAATAGAACACCAAAAGTGATTTAAAAGCTATTATGATCAATTTTTCCAAATCTGTCCTCCAACTTCTAAAATTCGTGTAGGTCAATAAGAACATCTAAAAATCATGAGACTTAGTTTTATGGAAATCTTAGTTTGTCTAGTTTCTTCAAACTTTGAATCACATTTTGAAATTCCAACTCCTTGAGGGGTAAAATTGGCAATTTTCTCAGGCTGGTCCATGCTGTCACAAATTTTATGCATTGTCTTGAAAAAATCATAATAAATTCATTAGAGCTCCAAATGCTAAAATTCCAAATCCTATAATTAGATATGGATGTATAGTTTCCCACATATAAAGGTACTGATGTAATTCTTAGTAGATTGGTACAGTTTATTCCAAGAGTGTTGAGTGGTCCAGAAAGTGACAACCTAAAGTTACTAACTTGTAAATTTAATATAAAATCAACCAAAAATCATTAGAATAAGATATTTATATTTCTGAAAAGATAAAAAGGAGGAACTTTACTAATATTATTTTATCGAAATTTAAGAGTGCGTTGAAAGGTAAGAAAACAGATCCCCAAAAGCGTACTACAATCAAAGAGAAAATAAGAAAATATATACATAAGTTTTATAAAAGTAGTAAACCAAAGCACAAGATAAATAATGTTATAATTGTTGTGTAGGTTCTCGGAAAGAAAAATGATCCATCTTGTTCATGCTAGCTGATTTTCAAGTTCAAGGAGGTGAGTTACATTAACTCTCCTATTAAGGAGGTGAGTTACATTAAATATGTGTAATCATATGTGATTAAGTACACGATAACAACTATTGAATCGAGATCATGAAAATGATTATTGTCCACATAAATCATATGTGATTAGATACATAAAATAACATGTGGTTATGTGTAACGCCCGCGTTTCCAGGCTAGGCATTATTGTTGATGTAATAAGTCTAGGTTAACCTTTGTAACTCTTTTGAAGTATTAATGATGAAATATTTGAGTATTATGTGTTTTGTGCTTAGTTGTGTGGCTTAATTGAATTAAGAATAAAATAAGCGTCAAAATTAAAGTGTGAGATAAACCCGATATCTTTACATAAAGTTGTAGTGGTTGAAACAAGGATTCCGGAGATATAAAGAACGCCGAAATCCGAGTTATAACGAAGAAGTTATGACCTGTCGAAGTTTCGCGACAGAACCGGCACGACGCTGAATGACGTAAAATATGAATTTAAGATAGAGCGATATCTAGCCTTAGTGATCTAAACGGAAGTTGTAGAGTTCGTTAAACCGAGAGCGTGCATAAAAAGAACGCCGAAATCTGACTTCGTATGAGGAAGTTATGATTTTCTGAAGTTTCGACTTAGCGGTATGCAGCCCGAATACTCGATTTGAGATCGAGCGGTTTATAGCCGAAACAATCTTAACGAGAATTGAAGATCTCGTCGATAGTAGTCCAACGGTAAAAAGACAGACGAAAACGGACGTCGGATGAAGAAGTTATGAATTTCTAACAGAGTTTTCCTGTCCCGGCCTACTAAAAATAATATAATAAAAATATAATAAAAATAAAGTCAAAATTAGCCGACGGAGTCTAAACGAGAGTTGTAGAGCATAATCTCAACTACGCGTGCATATAAAGAACGTCGAAAACGGAGCTCGTATGCGAAAGATATGAATTTCTGAAGTTCGGGGCACGAAATCCGATCCTGTGTCAGAACTCACGACGTGAACATTGTGTGCACGACGTGAACTCAGAAAAACGTCACCTGGACTCTGTCAGACCCCACTTGTGATGACGCATGCAGTGACGATCAAGCCCCACGACGTGAGCCCTTAAAACTCACGACGTGAACCCTAAAATCTCAGCCTATAAATAGAAATCAAGGGTCAGCCGATTATGGTTGCTCCATCTCTTCTCTCCCATTCCCGATACTCTCTCTAAGCCCTATTTTAACCCCCCGAAGCCCCCGGTGTTCATCCCGAGACCCGAAGCAAGTCCCGAAGCCCGAAGATCCCGAGAAGAAAAGAGTTTCCGAGCCGAAGCTCTGCCCGCGAGAAGCCCGGTGTGTGAAGTGATCCCGGTTTCACCGATGAATACTACTTCTACAAGCCGTAGTGCTGTCCGATCATCTTCTGATCAAGTGAGTGTGTAGTTACTTCTACAAGCCGTAGTGCTGTCCGATCATCTTCTGATCAAGTGAGTGTGTAGTTACTTTCTTCTAATACATAAATACGAAGTATTTACTATGAAATATGTGTTATGTGTTTATATATTGGTGTTGATTTGAAGGGGGTACATAATCTCTTTCAAATGCACGATTTTATACAAGTATCGGTTTAACGTATTAAGTATATGTGTTATGTGAGTGTATCGATGTTATCTTCTAATCTCATAGATATGATTTATTCTCTATGAAATACGTGTTATGTTTATGTGTCTCATCTTTTATCTGGAATGTGTTTTGAATGAACATACTATACAGGTTTTAAACTATGTATAAAAATGTACATTTTATTTACTAAAATGTTGGGTAGAACATGGGTAGATAGTTGTCTTGTGATAAAAAGATGAGAGGCCTCGATGTTGTTTTTGATTTAGTCATCTAGCGGAGTTTAGATGACGACCACGGACTTTTCTAGACAGTCCTGTGGAACGCTAGCAGGCTCGCCACCTGTAGGTGTTAATGAACTTGGGTGTTCATTCGCTGTACTCCATCCCCCTCATGGTTGCCTTATTTGACATATATTGCTGGGAAACCCCCGAATGCATGTGTTGTCGCCCCGATGAAATATTCTTAGACTAGGTCCCTTATGTTAGTTGTCTTAGGGACGTAAAGTGAGAATAACGGGAATGGGTAATTGGGTTATTGTTGGTTGGTGGAATTAAATATAATTATTTATTGTTGGTTGAAAACCCTATATGCTCACCAGGCTCCCAAGCCTGACCCACTCAGTTTTCTTTGTATTACAGGTAGTGGCACCAGAGCATAAGTTGGATGACTTGTCAAGTTATTTTTGGATTATAGACCTGTTGTTATATATATAACTGTTGTAAGGTCTGTATTGTAATGTTTATGCTTTTGGTCTGTTTATCGGAACATGACATCCCGAGTTTTGTTATACAATGAAAATACATTTCTTTATGAAATGCCTTGGTAAATCTTATTTTATCATATTTCGTTTTGGGAACAAATTCCGCAACTCTTTTAATCAAAGGATTACTCTGAAATTATTTTAAAAGCATAAATTAAACCGGTCTTTTCTGGCCGTGATTTTGGGGATGTCACAGTTGGTATCAGAGCATTAGTTTAAGCGAACTAGGAATTTGTAGGATTTCTAGACTTAAACTTAGAATGCTAAGTAAAATTGTGAGATGTGTGTCTGTTATATTTTAGACACGAGCACTAGCTTATTTTAGGAAAATTGCCTAAAATGCTTTTATGTGCTAAATGTTATATGTTTGCCATATATGATATTATTTGTTCGGATCTATGGTCTGTTGCCGACCGGATCTGGAAACCTTATGTGTGTAGGATTCTAAGCGTACGTCTACGATATTAGAACTAGCATGTAAACGTTTCGGAGTGATAAGGGTGATTTGAATATCTATCGTGAATGAGGATCTAATTTCACCTTATTCGGTGTATAGATCAAAAATGGTGAGAACGAGGAGTGGAGTTGGAAATGCTGATGAAAAC